GTTTTTCCCCCCAAAACCTTGTCTTTAAAATAAGGGTGCGTCTTATATTCCGAAAAAATATGGTAAATTAACTTCTTAATGCTGCTTTTGATCTTTGACTTTGGTTTGAATACCTAACAATAAAAAACTGCAAATACTGCCAAGGTTAGAGTCGGTTGATTTAATAGGTTATTTATAAGTAACAATTACATTGATTAATGTCATGTAAACTAATTGATTAATTAAAATTATGATTAAATCTACTGTCATGTAAATAATCAACTAATTGAAATTAGGGTTTCCAATTACTATTTTTGATTATTCTGACTATCCAAGAAATAGAAATATTGTCACCAGATTTGCTTGCCCTGTCTTTGCTATGCCAAAGCTACAAAGGCTATCTGCCACTGTCTCTAATTTTGAAATACTGAACACAGGGCCAGAGGAAAGGCAACTTAGATGGCAGCACCTGTCATCAATGTTTATTTTATTCTTGCTTGTACATACCATGCTTTGAGGAACACTGTGTGAATCAATTAAGTGATCACAAAATACCATTTATCACCCAGCTATAGCCATGGGGAGGCCAATGCCTTCACACCTACATAGTTTACAGGAAAGTAATAGTCTGTTTGCCAAGGAAAAAATCAATCCTAATCTCAGCTGACATAATCTGTAAATAGCCAGAACAAATGTTTTATTAGAGTCACTTGAGAGGGAAGCATTAAAGAAATGTAAGCTCATTTTCTACAAGGTCAATAATAATATTCATGTGACACAAAGAAGTAAGGTCTTTAATTTGACTAATATTACCAGCATTGCTATAGAATGAAAGGTGTCAATCAAGGTTTGACACCCAGATCTGGGTTGTAGAACTAAGTTTGTTTAGAAGTAATATTTAAATGGTCAGGTGCAAGGTATTTCAAAAATTAGGAACCAGTTCAATCTTCTCTGAGATACCTAAATAAATTATTTCTACAAATTCAAGTGATATTCATTAATGTCTCACACAGAAGAGCAGATTAGTTATTGTTGCTCTGCTTTCAGTTGGCAAGCAGTTTCCTAATGAATGAGTATGTGTTTACATTTGTGCATATTTTACTGCTTAAATTCAGTTCAAAGGTTCTACTTATTTGTCTTTGTTGGTTTCTAACTGATATTCACAAGTAAGAACTGTACTTTCAGGGAGTATAGTTATCAGCACCATCAGCAGACATAATGTTAAAATATCCCAGTGATAGTGTCTGTTTTCAGTAAAGGACATCTGCCTTCATGGTGAGAAAATGTTATTGAAAAGGTTTTTGGCTCACAAAAATGAATAATGAAAACCTTTTGGAAAACATTATAAATTCCAACACAGTGAACTATAATTACCAACTGTATAGAATGTAATATTGGAGTCTACTGGGTCTAAAAATTTGTGATAAACATCACAGTAACTACAGATTTTTCTTTTTTTCTGCATTTCTTTTAATTTATCCATTGCAGATTCGAAATCAGAGGAATTTAAAAATAGCATTTCAGATCTTTTGTCTTCAACAAGTCACTGCCCAAGAGGCCCTTTGTTCAATACTAGAACTCATCAGTTGGGCTGGACAATGAGCCACAGACTCTCCTAAACCTTATTTATACTAGCAGAAACACCATCTTATAGGTGGCTGTTTGTGCTGGTAATTAATAATCATAGTATTCATACCCCATTAAGAAAATTTAGAAAAAGTGAAAGGATTTTTTTTCTGGGAAGTCCTGCATGGGTAAAAGTGTTCAGGTTGTGTATTTTAGTCATATGCAACTCATTGCATCAAGATAATTCAATGAACAGAACTCAAAATTATAATAAATCTTATTGATATAAGCTGTAATATTTTTATATATTAAAAGTAGTACCGTTTATTGAAAAAATAAGTTTTTTAAGTACTCCAGTTTCTCAGTCCCACATTTTAAAATTACCTTAATAAAGATATAATCAAACCTCACGTACAGTTCTAGTGAAAGTCGTGTCCTTGTCATGAGGCGAGTACTTTTATATAATATTGTATACTATTATAAAGAAATGGTTGTTGCACATACACAGTTATTTTTCTAATTATCTGAATCTTGAATACCCAAAGTGTGAAATTTTCTAAAGACTTTTTAGTTGTGGTGCAGGATTTTTGGTTACATATATATATATATATATATATAGATACTAACATACAAGCTACATCTATTATAGTAAGAAGATATGCAGTATAATACTTTAAACACCAAAAGCTGGTAAAGCATTAGAAACCAACAGGCCTAAAGATTTGTGACAAAAATCACTAACTTTTTTCTCCCCACATTCCAGATATATCTGTTACCTCCCAAAAGTCATTTACCAAAAAGGCCTTTCATTTAGTTCCCAGACTCAGTTGTAGAGCTGGGTGATAAGTGGAATTGAATAATCAATTAATCATCAGATTCTTTAACTGATTGTATCCAACTAATTGATTATTCTCATAAGATGTGGATAGTTGGAATAAACAAAAACAGTGATAGTTGGAAACACTAATTTGATTAATTATTTTTGAACATCCTTGAATTAACCTAAAATAATGAGAAATCACAATGGCAATATTTTGATTACTTGGACAATTGGATTAATCAAAAACAGCAAAAACCAGAAGCACTAATTTTGATTAGTTGATTTAATCATAATTTCAATGAATCAATTATTTTACATGACACAACTTGCTGTAATCAAAGCTCATAGACAAGTGATTATATTGATTAATTGAGTTAATTACCCAGTAATAGTCAATTGGGTTGGATGATGAGAGACAAAAGACACTCTGAAACATTTATATATGCAGTATAATACTTTAAATGTTGAAAATTGGCAAAAGCATTTGAAAACAATTGACCTAAGAATTTCTGATAAAAATCATATTAACTGCAGATAGTTTGTTTTCCACATTACACATTTTTCATTGTAAATTAAAAGATCAGAGGAGTGTAAAAACAGAACTTCAGATATTTTGTCTCCCACAAGTTACTGCCCATGAGGCAGTACCAAACATGCCCAGTTAACAAATATTGAATGACAAAGCAACAGAGCTGTGTTACATATTTACAAAAGGCCTCATTAACAGTGCTGTACAGTTGATATGTTACTATAGTCTTAGAAGAAATGCATGTAAAGATTTGTTAAAAAGTATTATCCCTTTTATAGTGATGTAATGTCACATAAATCACTGATTTAAAGAAACTTATGCTTCTCAGCCAGAAGGAACTATGTGCTGATCATTCTTTTTCACCTGGTTGCCCAAAACATAATTCATGCAACTTTCAAATATTCATTGTAACACACAAACAATAACTTAATCAGTAAAACAGAATGCCCCCAAACTACTATAATTATCTGGCTTTCTAAATGACCTATAGAAAAGTTTAAAACTTTCACTACTTACTGGAACATTGTCTTTGATCTTTCCTCAATAAATCTGCATGGACTATAGTGCCTTTAACCAAAAGGAATTAATGTAAAGATGTCATAAACACTTAGTAAAATGGCCCTTCTATTGGTTATAAACATGTAACAATGACGAATTTGCATGAGCAAATAATTTTAAAAACATGAAGAGTTGGGAGTGGATGTAACAAATTTACTGATATCTCAAACAACGAAAAAGTATTGAGCCAATTTGCCCTCAGAAACCAGTCTTCATTAAACCTAAATTTTATCACCAAGTTAGTTTCCACTAAACTAATTCATGTTGCTTCCAAATATGCATCTTAATACACAAACAGTTAAACAGAATGTCCCAAAACTATTATAATTTATCTGGCTTTCTAACTGATCTATAAAAAGGTTCAAAAATTTCATCATTTACTGGAACACCAATCATGGTCTTCCCTCAATAAAATTTGCTTGGAGAATAGTACCTTTTACCACAATTAATTAACACAAAGACGTATGAAAAAAAAAAAGTTCACGAAATGGCCATTTTACTGGTAATGAATATGCACCATTGAAAAGTAAGTATGAGTAATCAAGTAATTCCAAAAACCTGATGAGTTGTAAGGTTTTACTTTAAATTCAAGCTTGTCAGTGTGTGTGTGTGTGTATATATGTATGTATGTATAGTCGATGTTTCTAATTGGTGGACATTTTAAGATCCATAAAAGGGAAGAAAAAAAATCTAAAATGGAGAATTAAGAACAGACATGTGACACAGATGAGAACAAAGACATGTGACACATAAGAACAGAAAAACAGATAAGTGAACTTTTTCTTTTTAAATTAATAAAGTAAAGCTTTTATAATATTAAAATCTGAATTATACATTTTGATGTCAAGTTTAATTAATTAAAGTTTTGAGTGCAAGTCTTTGAAAAGGTCGTGACATGTGTACTTTGATCTACCTGTATCTATGAAGATTAAAACAAAGTGAAAAGATGACATTACCTCCCAAACACTGACTTTAATATTTTTTATAATAATCATGCTTTATCACAGAAGTTAAATATTATAAACTATTAATAATACAAATCAAGATATTTCATTACTGATCCCTCATGGTCTACTCACAGACATTGCTTGACCTTTCTTAGAGCTTTCATCTTTCTTGTTCTTGTTGGGTTTTGGAGGGTCTTTTTCAACAACAGATTCTTCTGATGCAGCTGTTTCCTCCTGTGAAAAATTTTCTAGCTGAACATATTGAGTGATTATTATATTGTGGAATATGAAATATAGGACACACATGTACCTGCAACAGTCCAGGTGGAGTTAATGTGATATATCAAATATATATGTATGAAATTTGGTACAACAGCAACATTCCATAACAGAAAAATTACACAGGATAGATCCACTGAAAAACAAAACAAAAATTTACTGTTTTTGTTAAGTATTGCTAAACTAAAAAAAATTTTTTTTTGTAAAATATTGCCAGAAGGATCATGGAATCTTGCATCAATCCTCAATTATGAAATCAAGTGTGTATAACCTTATAAAAATCACTCCCAAATTAAATTAAAATTTGTATTATATTGGATTTTATGTGATATCTGCTATAGGGTGTTGATAAACTGCTGATTTTTATATAAAATGGACAAACTAAGAGAAATGTAGGGGAAAAAAAAACATCTGCAGTTTATGTGATTTTTTATCACAAAAGAAAGGTTAAAGAAAATTTATTACAGCATAAGCTTTTTCCATAATTTAAACTTATTAGAGCAGCAAACTATGAACAGGCTAAATAATAAAAAAATCTAGAGATGTTAACAAATATTATAAAACTTACTACTGAACCAACTGGTGCAGTGTTCTCATCTTTAGAAATTTCAAGGGGTTTTCTTGAACTTTTTTTCTCTGAAGTTAAAACTTCTCGATTACTCTCACTCTCCCCTCCATTTGTGCTGATGTTTTTTCCTTCAATTTTTTTTGGAGTTACTTTTTTGCCATTGCAAACTTCCTCATTCTCATTAAGGTTACTGGACATGGTTAGCTATTTTCTGTAGTTTCTGGGAAATAACAGTGCATAAACATATCTGTACAAGTATTCTTAAACATATACAGCAGTTAGTTTAGTCTTAACTTTATATATATATATATATATATATATATATATATAGTACTATAGTCTTAAGAAGAAATGCATAGTAAACGTATTTAGTTAAAAAGTATTA